GCTACTGTACATATGTACGTAAAAGTCAACCGCGGTCGAGCGCAAACATGAGTTCAAGATGAGGGAGAAGTACAGAGCTCGTAAAACAGCGGCCGCCTCTAGGTCAGTTACCACATGTAGAGCTGATGTGCGTGCGCGAGCTGAAAGACGAAACTCACATCCCAGCAGCCACGCTACTAGGTATCCGATGTTTTGTCTTCAACCGGAGAAGCTTGAACAAGAAAACACAACACCTGCATCTATTTCTTGACGTATACAAACCGGACTCGGTTTTCCTTACTGAAACATGGCTATCTTTAAGAACATCCAGATCAGAAAATCGTTGGTGACCGTCCAAACAGCATTTTCCGGTGGTCTGATCAGAAAAAAGGAAAAATAGGCGGAGCTTGCTGTAAAGCTAAAAACTTCCTTATTCTTGCCATGATCGCGACCCCCTACAATTCACATCTACGGGCTACTGTGCATCAAAGGTTTTGATAATTTTCCAGCAGATCTGTTCAGAGTTCTGCTAACTTACTGACCGCTTGATTCCTCCTTAGGTGATGACAGTGAACTATATGATGATGTGCTGTGACACTGTAATCTCATCTGCTCTTAATTGATCTTTATGATTTCAAAACATACTTTTTGGAAAACACGAGAAACTATCAACTCGTTATCTTCAGTTTTTCTAAAATTTATGGCTTTGGTGAGGTTTATGTCATAATGTCACGTTGAAAGTCTACCTCCGCATTCCATCCGATTCTTATATGTTGTCAAAAGCGTCTCGATTTTCCACTTTTTGTAGCATCTGATCCCAAGGAAATAGCTTTTGAAGTACTTATTTCTTCTCATACTCATAATAACTGTCATTGCTTGATTTCGCAAGACAAGATTACTATGCGCTATCAAAATTCTTTTGTAGATTAGTAGAGTGCCTTCGAAGATTTTCATTCTATCGGCGATTTTCGTAAAGTTGCTACGCAATTTTAAGAAGTCCAGATGAGTATGTGCCTCCCAATTTCATTGATGGGCCAAAAATACAATACTCTGCACATATAAAAAAATTGCTACCTCAAAAATCTCGGCTCTATGGCATATCACAAGATCTCCCCTTATTAGCGACTTTTCATTTAAAAAAAGCATGGCACTAACTTGACTAACATAAGAAGATTCCTAATCTGTGAACGAAGAGTTCATACGGGCCTTCATAAGAAAAATTGAACTATCAAACAACATTAATGAATACCTGTGCTTCAAAATGAAATTAGCAATCGATGTTTGACTGGCTTTTAGAAAAACGCATTGGCGCACGTTCTTCTCCGATTTTGTTCCCGATGGCGACGCTATGTTGGATGCAACACCTGAAGAGTGTAAACGCTTAAACACCTCTAATGAACGTCTGGCAATCACACTAAGGTCGTCAAAGTGCTCCACCTCCATTCCCTCGACGGTATACCGCAAATTAGGTATAAAAAATAAGTCTCATTCCTATGCAGTCCTATACGTACGATAATTAATGCGCTTCGCTTATGTTCAGCGAACTTCCGTCCATTGAAAAGGAATCTACTATCACGGCTAGACACCCGCCTCCGAGTTGTTTTCTCTATTCGGCCCCCATAAGTATGACTGCACCTACGGCGAAAACACAAGAAAAGATATTATGTGACGAAANATAAAAAATAAGTCTCATTCCTATGCAGTCCTATACGTACGATAATTAATGCGCTTCGCTTATGTTCAGCGAATTTCCGTCCATTGAAAAGGAATCTACTACCACGCCTAGACACCCGCCTCCGAGTTGCTTTCTCTATTCGGCCCCCATAAGTATGACTGCACCTACGGCGAAAACACAAGAAAAGATATTATGTGACGAAATAGTATCACGACTATCCTTAGGAATTTCTGTTGGTGAATAGAGCGAACGTAGAAGCAAATTCCATCCTTTATCCGGCTTTGGCTGATTGTTCCATCGCCGAGAAGTTCGTTGAGATCACGTTATGAGTGTGCCGCCTTCCAACACTTCTCGAAGTATTAGAGCATAATTTGACGTATATGAAAATGACTATCTAGACATATTTCTGTTGAGAAAAGCGAGGAGATTGCTTCTACTAGAATCCCGAATTCAAAAGTTTAATTTTATCGAAAGAAAAGGAGCCGCGAAAAATCCCCAATAAATATGCATCAACCTAATATTAGCGAGGGGGATGAGTAGGAATAAACAACTTTGACTCGCTTAAAGCCTCTAATAAAAAAAAGCTCTAAACTTTGGCGATTAGGGCGACAATAGTGAATGTGCACACCAAGTACTATCCCAGTCCATACGAAACATGTCGCACTGGGCTAAAACTTGGGAACTATAAATTTTACACAAAATATTTGCCTGGTATAAGAAATGATAGAGATGTACCGTACACATCGACAACATTTTGACCATTCAAGAGAAGTTCGTGACCTCAGATTTCTAATCAATTTCGCTCGTGATCAATGACTTGCCTTGCACATGTCAGTGCTTTTACCCTCTCAGACGGATCTGGTACCGATTAGCCAACTGCGGAGAGGGATGGGCACTTGGTTGGCCTAGGCAGATATCGATCCGGGATATGAACCCCTGACCATGCGTGTAAGAAAAGCACCACTTTCTACTATAACAATTCCGCCCTCTACAGTTTTTCGCATTATTCAGAAGTGTTCGAAACAACGAAGTCTTTCCTTTCCTGAATTTCACGAAGCGTCTAAGGTAGGTTACCTGTGGTATTTTGCAAGACCTTTCTAGATATCTACAGGCTGACCTGAACTAAGCTGAAGTCTGAACGTTGATCAGAATAAATCCCCAATATTCTTTGGCTCCCTCGCTCTGACGAAGGCGGCTGGCCGAAACCTTAGCCGAATGAAGACATAATATTTCCCCGAGTTATAAAGAAGAGCACCTAAGGCATCACTATCATGCCAGGATTAGGTTTGAGCCGAATAGCTTCTAAAGAGTGGTAGCTTCTGAAGAATAAGAAATATTTTCGCAACATCGTGGACGTGGACTTATTATGGAAATCGGGGATGCACTAACCGAAACAGGGAAACTTGGTCCACAACTACCGTCTTTTTCAATTAAAACCATGTCCCTCCGGTGGTAGCTTCTCCATAGCTTATTCCGACAAATTTCGGTAAGCTTATTGAACAAGTTCCCTCTCTCGAATAGGGTCGTAAAGTAAAAAAAAAAGTGGAAGAAATCGAGTAAAAGAGAAGTTCAGTCGCTTTCAAAATCGCGGAGTATCGAGGAGCTTCTTTTCAGAACAGTCAACTGACTTATTTTTCAGCTCAACTGACTGATTACTTTAACGACATAGTTTAAAAAGTCACGTCACGATACAGAGACTATGGCGGTGACGAAGACACGATAAAAAGCCACACAGATTATGATGACGGGTTTAAATCACTTAAAAAACGAATAAGACCTTTAAGCGAACTTTGAAACGACTTTTTAATTTGAGAGATTTTGCACTTTGATGTTATTCAATCACAATGATAGCTACTCTACAAATTTTTCTCCTATTTCTCTTATCGGATTCAAAGCTAATCCCTTCATGACAGCCGACTACATGGATATAAGGAGATGCT